AACAACGCTATAAACCGGGTTTCGATACCCGTGGTGGGCAGAGCACAGATAGCCACTTGTGTAGCCTTGTGCTTAATTACAAACACAAACATAATTATAACAGCAATGTTGTACAAGAAAATATAATAAAGTTTTCGATTGTACATTGACATAAATATACAAGACTCTTGAAAACCCTTTTTTAATGGTTTCGAAATGAATACGTGTTTCAACTACTTTTTTATTCTACTCAAGCTTTAATTACGTAAATCTTTACACCTACAGTTATTTTTAAAATTATGCTGTGCTCTATGTTGCAAGTTAATTACAAGGGTTTAATTATACTTGCTACACTTTTCATCTTTAATTCATGTTTTATGAGATTGTATTCCTAAACCTGTAATAAGTTAAAATACGTACTCTCTCTTATAAGAGACTTGGCTTAGACCTGATATAAACTGCAGAGAGTTCATTCTAGCCAGATGAAGAGGAAAACAAACTGACAATCTAATGTTTACAAAGCTTTTGCTTCTAGGGATGGTTAGACCAACCTAATTAGATTAACTGATTTCAGCTGTCACTATTAGTATCATTGACCTTTGAAAATAACTATTTTATTCAATAGTGATCTAATTATTGCCCTATTTACCATAGTGAAACAGTCATGTGGACAATTAACCCATGGTAACATGCTTGATCAATAAGACACGATGACCATTAAATGGTTCTGAATCTAACACATAATCATGCAGGCATGTGAATAATACATATAAATCGCTCTCTACTCGAAGCATGAGGACAGAAACTGTAAGAGCATTTTTAATGTTGCTGTTCCACAACAATTGTGAGAGTATTTTTGATGTATATGTTTGATAGCAACTGTAATGGCATTTTTGCTGTTTCTATTTTACAGCAACTGTTAGAGCATTTTTGATGTTTATGTTGATAGTAACTGTAAGGGCATTTTTGCTGTTTCTATTTTACAGCAACTGTAAGAGCATTTTTGCTGTTTCTACTTTACAGCAACTGTAACAGCATTCTTGCTGTTTCTATTTTTACAGCAACTATTAGAGCATTTTTGATATTTCTGTTTGATGAAGGCATTGGATGTTGATACATCAACCTATGCCTATCTTTATTGCACCTGTTAATTGTTTCAATCAATCTACCTGTCTTTAATTTGAGTAATAAAGATGTCCCACTACCATTTATGCTCTTATCACCCAATACTTCTTTGCAAATTGTACATAATAATATTTTGTATCAGAGATTTAAATACAAATATCCCAATATACAAAGTCACATTTTGAGAAAAGTAGCTTAGCCTTTCATGATCAGGAGACTAGGAGTAATCATGATCAGGATGACCTGCAAAGTGAACCATATCATCATTCTGCTGATATGTTTCAATTTGCTGCCTAATGGACAGAAGTTTGGTAGAGTCCAGTCTACTTCAATTTCTTCTACTCCTTTTCTTGCCTTCATTGTGTACAATAAGTCGTTTCTAGGCTGTGTTCGAATTCTCTTGCTATTGGATTGATATTCAAACCGTTGCGATCTCTAATTTCACAAAAAAAAAGAAAATAAATCTAGGTGTTCTTGACTTAATTTGTAAGTCAAGAGGTTTTTCAGGGAAGGATCTAGTTATAAGGTTCTTCATTTTCACATTTCTACCACCGTTGCAGAGGTTTAAGGTGTGGAAAATACATAAAGTTCTTCATTTTCACATTTGTATCATCGTTTCAGCGGTTAAAAGTGTGGAAGACACATAAAGTTCTTCATTTTCACATTTGTACCATCGTTGCAGAGGTTTAAGGTGTGGAAGACACATAAAGTTCTTCATTTTCACATTTGTACCATCGTTTCAGAGGTTTAAGGTGTGGAAAATTGAAAATGAAGAACTTTATGTCATTTGTACCATCGTTGCAGAGGTTTAAGGTGTGGAAGACACATAAAGTTCTTCATTTCACATTTGTACCATCGTTGCAGAGGTTTAAGGTGTGGAAGACACATGTCAAACGTTTGCCTGGCATATTCGTATACTTGAGGAGAAGGGAATTGTAATTTCAATGCAAGCGTTGAGTTATGGAGGATATGTATTTTTTGATAGTATTCCAGTCTCTTCACCAAATATCAAGAAGCCTCAAAGAAGCCTTTCTCAAGCAACTCTGTTGCACGATCTCATAAAAGTTTTGGATGTCTGAAGTCAGAAAGCAATTTTTATTGAAGTGTTTACTTGAGGTGTTTATGAGACCATTCGAGTTTGTCTAGTAGCATAATACTTTAGCTCGAATTTAGATAAATTTTTATTTACAGTATATGTGTGATCAGTTGTAATATATGTATCATCAAAAACAGGGTTTTCCAATTTTCTGAGACATAGTAATTTTCAGTTTTTCTGGCGGAAGTTAACAAAAAATATTAGATCTTTTGTTGTTGTTTGCTTTCCAAGATTGGCTTCGGAGATTAAACTTCTACTATGGATTCTTTAAGGTCTCCAATAAATAAATACTGTGATGCTTTAAGTAACAATTAATGCTTTTAGATTCTACTGAAGAGCATGCTTAAGCAAAATTCGAACATATAAGCAGAGCTATAAACCTAATTACCACTAATAGCTCTTATCGACTTGATTGAAATAACAATAAATGATTGTAAATTATTAAAATTTATAAGAAAATCTGCATTGTTAAGTGTGTGTGTTTTTTAATACGCCACAAATTAAAATAAATTATACTATTATTAATAATATACTCATGAAAGATTAGCTTTGTTTTTGCTGTGTCCTTTAGCTGACAAAAGAGTGTCCAGTACAGAACCATTGTTGTTCAAACTGTAATTTTAACTTGAAAAAAAATTATTCAAGTGATAAGCTCTGGATTATAACTGCTTATAAAACCTGACGAAAGTAAAATAAAAATAAATTTAATAACTGATTAGTGTATGCACATTTGGTGGAATATAAAAAACACAACAACGAAAACTGGACAATACAAAATGGGAGATAAATGTGAAGCTAAAAAAATGCAGTAAAAGTAATTCCATAGATATCAGAAAAAGAAAATAATATAGCTTTCTATTTTTAAATTTAACACTAAGTTCCAAGTACGGTAGTTCCGCTTTAAGACATTTCTATTTTCACCTTTAAAATGGGTAGTTTTCATGTTTCTGTCTTCTTCCTCTGGCAGTTTGCATTTCAAGAGCGCGTTTCCTGCTATAATCAATTCTCAAATGCGGAGTTCTACACAATATCTATATCACTCCGAATCCCCATTAAGCGCGTCAAGGCAAATTAACGCGTGCCAGTTGGAAGACGGCAGCTTAGCTTCAGGTAAGATGACGCCATCCTCCTTTTAGTTACATAAAATTCAGTGGTGAACCATAGTAATACTATGAAACACTTTTTAAAATGGCGACTATATTAATATAATGCATTCTACTGGTAATATAGACGCTAAAGAAGTAATATATGGATGAAAATTAAGATATATTTTATTGCATTTCAAAATACGGATCAGTGGAAAGTCTGCACTTTTTCTCAAAATATTTAGTAAGTTTTCCAGTCTCTCAACAATACCATTATTGTATATATACCCCTGTAGGCACACATCTATTAAGATTGTTTATAATTAAGAACAAAGCTACACAATGGACTATCTTTAGTCTGCCCTCCACGGGTATTGAAGTCCGGTTGCTAGCGTTGTAAGTCCGAAGACATTCCGCTGTGCCACTGGGGAGGGGCACTTCACTTCTATTAAGAACTCAGTTTTTAAGAAATATTAAAACATAGCTAAGTGTTTCGAAGCTATTGATATTATCCGAAATTTACACTGATATAGTCTATCTTCTGATGTAATCGATGAAAAAGTATAAAAACAACAAAAAGTGAAAGGGCTTTATCAACTCAGTTCGGTAGTTTTTAAAGTATGTACATAATTCTGTTTAATTATTGTCTACCGAGTTTTATCCAACGGTTGTCAGAGTATTTTTAGACCTAATATGGTCTGGTGGTTGACTCGCAACCGGGCGGTCGCGATTTCGAATTTCCTTCGTCAAACATGTTCGCACTTTCTGCGTTATTATGTGACGGTCAATCCCACTATTCGCTAGTAAAAGTTGGCGGTGGATGGTGATGACGAGCTGCCTTACCTGTCACTATTAAATTAGGGACGACTAGCGCAGATAGCTCCCGAGTAGCTTTAGACGAGCTGCCTTACCTCTAATATGTCACTATTAAATTAGGGACGACTAGCGCAGATAGCTCCCGAGTAGCTTTAGACGAGCTGCCTTACCTCTAATCTGTCACTGTTAAATTAGGGACGTCTAGCGCAGATAGCTCCCGAGTATTTTCTGTCTGAAAAATACGTAAAGAGCGTATTTTGCGTTATTATATTACAAAAAATAACGATTCAGTTTACATCAACAAATATATTAAGATCGTTTTCCCTCTATTTGAGATATTTGAGTAGTGGGATTTAACTGTCATTCTTATTAAGCACTGTCTGACTCAAAGGACGGAGCGTGATTTTGTGGAAATGGAACATCTACCAGGGACTCTTGGGTCCACGGTCCAACACTTTAGCCAGAAGACCATTTCCAGTCTCATTATGAAGTGAATATTGTAATGCTGAATTTGTTTTACGAAATTTGTGTTTAAAATATCTCTTAAGTTACGACTTTTTAGTGTGAAAATATTATTCAGGTTCTTACTTGTAACACGAAGTAGAATTTGCACAATGTATGTAATATTGTTGCCTTCTGTTAACACACACACACTAGAATCTTTTCTCACGGTTGAAAAGCACAATGAACAACAGGAATCACCCTTTGCTGCTACACTTTTGGGATTAGGAATTAATCCGCCATTGACGGTGCTTTGATGTCTAAGCCACGTTCCCTGAAATAGGAATAAAACTTATTAAATATAAAAGTTCAAACAAGAAAAACAAAATTAATAAAGACATTCTAAATGTCGTACAATTAAAACAAAGGTCAAAACATGACCTTCTCTACTACAAAGTTTATTTTTTTAGTTTATGGATATAAGATAATCCGAATATTGGATATAGCCGGGTTTTTTTCTACAGAATACTTTCATATTTGTGATAATAGATGAATATACAGTATGAAGTTTTGTATACTATGTCTCAACGTATCTTAAATTAGAATGGGTACTGGTGTATTAGTAAATTGGAAACGAGTTAATCAATGCCTTGATAAACCAAAGGATTGACCCAAATCAGATGACTCCATAAGACACCTTCTTAGATTGCCTTGATTAACTCATCCGGTCGATGGTGCTAAATTGGAAATGAGTTAATCAGTGCCTTGATAAACCAAAGGATTGACCCACATCAGATGACTCCATAAGACACCATCTTAGATTGCCTTGATTAACTCATCCGGTCGATGGTGCCTTATTCGTGGAAGTCATCTTGATATAGAATTAATTTATACACAGGCACCTTTACATTATCTGACTACCAAAGGATGTACTGAGGAGTCCTAGCTAATTATAAAAGCCCGGTATTTACATTTTGTTGTTATGATAATGCATGCATAAAACTTATAACTGTTAAAGAAAAACAGATTGCGAGTCGAGTGCCCTAACCACCTGGCCATGCCGGGCCATATGTTGAAATAACTGGCACCATCGACCGGATGAGTTAATCAAGGCAATCTAAGATGGTGTCTTATGGAGTCATCTGATGTGGGTCAATCCTTTGGTTTATCAAGGCATTGATTAAACTCATTTCCATATTAGCACCATCGACCGGATGAGTTAATCAAAGCAATCTAAGATGGTGTCTTATGGAGTCATCTGATGTGGGTCAATCCTTTGGTTTATCAAGGCATTGATTAACTCGTTTCCAATTTAGCACCATCGACCGGATGAGTTAATCAAGGCAATCTAAGATGGTGTCTTATGGAGTCATCTGATGTGGGTCAATCCTTTGATTTATCATCTATTGTTTTTATATGTTTGCTTATTCCTAGACGACTAGAGAAAACACGCGAAATAATTAGTAAGCAATATGATAATGGAAATAGATATTTGTTTTATATTGTACAATATATACTGCAATATATGAATTAAACGTTTTATCAGTATGCGTTAACCTTGCCAACAGCTCGGCGATAAGTTAGAGAGCTTATTATGCTAAATCGTGGTTTAGATACCTGCGGTGGGCCGAGTAGAGATAGTCCATTGTTTAGCTTTGTGCTTAACAACAAACAAACAAAATATGAATTAAACGTTTATTTATATTTATATCATTACTAATCTAATATAAATCTTTACAGGTTTAATCCTACAAAATGGTATTTGTTTGTTTGAAGCAGAAAGCTACACAGTGAGTTTTCTTTGATGTACCATGTACTTAAACAGATGTTTCAATTTCCATGTGAGTGGCATCGTATGAGAAATATTTACAACGATAGGAGGTTTTATTACTTGCTCCACAAACCAACTGATCCAAACAAGATGATGATGATGAGTTGTGATTTCTCTGAAGATAAGTTTTGTTCTTCATGCATAGATGATTCTGCACATTTCTTTAAACGTCGTTTCACAGTTTCTGGGTGGTTTGTCTCAAAACCATTTTTAGCGAAGAGAAGAAAACACATACGTGTAATTCAAACGAAAGTCTACACCAAGATCATTCCTTGTTTTGTGAATCCAATTTTTTTCTATGTTTGTTTACTACTACTACTATAATATTAAATTATTACTCGCCTCCCAGTTGTACAGTAGTAATTCTGTGGTGGGCACAGTACAGATAGCCCATTGTGTAACTTACTTAACTACAAACCAAGAGCAAATAATCAATTATTATAATAAGAAGAAATATAATAGGGTTAAAAACTCTGAGATAATATTTGTTTGTTTGTATTCGCAAAGCTACACGATGGGCTACCTATACGTGGCAAACTGCGGGTACCGAACTTCGATTTTAGGGGTTATAAACACTCAACTTTGCCCCTGAGTCACCGGAGGAACCATTTATAGCTCTTATATGTTTATTTTAAAACATATAATCCAAACATTGTAAAAATGACTACCGGGATTGAGTGTGTTATATTAACATAATTCTGGAGCTTCGGGACACTAGGACTATTCAGAAAGAAACCTGCCATACCCAACCCATTTAAGCAAAGTATGTCGTCTTATAACAAGTCAGAATCCAAGAATACAAAGATTACTAGCAAAAACTGTTTCCGCGTACCAGGTAACATAATCAAGAAAGATAGATCTCCATTTTGAAAAGCGTCACAAATCACATGTACACAAGTTGTTTCCACCACATATCAGTTCAACAACTAGTTACCTCAAGCAGCTGCAAACTAAAACGGTATTAATACTATTCCATATGAATACATGTGGTCAAATCGCCGAATAAAGGGCTGTGAAAATTTGTGCGATCAGATTGCTAAAATGGGTGCTGGGAAACCGTTATTCTCATACGCTAGATGGACTAGGAAAAGCATTCATGGAGGAATGCTATGTTTTGGACACGACATCCCTACGATGGGGGCGTTTTTCTAATAGAAAATATATTAGATACAGAATGGCAGGATGTGGTACATGGATCCATCTTCCTTTGTTTGCCAATGCTATTAACTACAAGAAATATCACAATCTTGGACTTTATAAACTCGATCTCAACACATCGTTATAATACGATGGTGTATGTATATTTTGGGCCGTAAGGGCCGTTATATATCCTTCACAAAAATAATCTGTTTTTGGCAGCATATTATTGTCTACGAAATTCTAAGTAATGTCAAAATGTAGTTCTGATACAATTCGTTCCACATTTATTTTATGTTTCAGTGATTATCATGTGACGTGTGATTTGCTTGTTGCAGATCCATTTAATATAACATAATTAATCATTTATATGAGATATGATGACAAGGTGAACCTTGAAACGAACCAAACTGTTATTATTATTTTAATAATATTGGTTAATTGCATCAAATGGTATTATATAATTAGCGAGTTATTAGTTTAACCATTAAATATTATTTCATATTATATTTATAATTACTTTTGTGTATATATTGGTTTTATATATATATATGTATATTGATGTGCCCACTGGGAGGAATAGAATCCCGGATTTTAGCGTTGTTCCATCGGTATATATACATAATAGAAGCAAAACAATACAATTAAACAATAGAAGTAATAAAACAATAATTGAAAAAAGTAAAAAACATGAGCAGTAATATAATTACATAATTCGTAAAATAATTTTATTCTTAACTATACTTTTTTACCAAGTTTGTATTTATAAGCACCCAGTGACACAGCAGTATGTCTGCGGACTTACAACGGTTGAAACTGAGTTTCGATACCCGTGATGGGTACTTAATTGCAAATTTTAATTATAGGGTGGATTTATGTGTGAATCCACAAGCTACCATATTAGGTTTGTTTGAAAATCTTCTAGGTGGAGCTAATTGTAATGAAGTGAATTGGTTTGAATTTTGTGCAAAGTTACATGAGGGCTATCTGCAATACACGTACCTAATTTAGCAGTGAAAGACTAGAAGGAAAGAAGCTAATCATCCCCCCTCACCGCCAACTTTTGGGCTTCTCTTTTACCAACGAATTGTGGGATTAACCGTCACTTATAACGCCCCCACAGCTGAAAGAGGGAGCATGTTTAGTAGGACGGGGATTCGAACTCGCGACCCTCAGATTGCGAATCGAGTTCCCTAACCGTCAGGCCTTTAATGAAGTGAAT